ATTTCGCTGTTATTGTTTTTTTTTTTTTTTTTTTTTTTCAAATTGTAAATTAAACTTGTTTAGTTAAGAGTTTCGTAATCAAAATGTACAACAAATAACATCATATTTGTTCAATTGACATTAGTTTTACCGGATACCGGGTTTCCTGGTTTGTTGCTGAAGTCTTACATTACCTTATAGTTTAGATCAGAAGGAGCAATTTGTATTTCTCATCTTCCATACTTCCCATGACACAAATGTTTGCAAGTTGATTTTCCATGACGTCGATGATTTTGAATATGCACCACGAATAACCGAAACAACATACTTAAGTCTTGCAATGTTGGTTGATACAAAAACGTCACGCCAATTGTTAATCTGTAATATGTTTCTTGAAGGTTGTAGCGAGGGACAACTGAAAATTAAGTGTTCGAATGTTTCGCATTCTAAATACAATAGAAACATTCGGGGGCATTCTCGAGAAATAAAAACCACCGCTTTTTTCGATCTTTAAAAACAGCGTATGCAAATTTATAAAGAAAGTTTTTTTCCCATACATCAAGCATTGAATTTTTGCAAATTTTGCCTGTAAATTTAATCAATTCTTCTTCTGAACAGAAGTAACGGTTTGCTGCAAAACCCAAGCGGAAAATCACAGCTCGATGAAAACTACAGTTTTGTAAGCAGAAATAATAAACATCTCGCGATTTTGTCTGTATTGTTATAATTAAACGGCTATTGGTACTGTTTGAAAATATTGCAAAATCACTTGAACTTATTTCAATAGAGATGTTCGTATTTCTCAACAAATTTTTGATTTCTTTCGGTAAAATTGAATTTGTTGGTAATAAACTATTTTGATCTGACATTTCAGAAGCAAAGAAATCGATAATTTTCATACTAAAAAGTTTAAGTTGTAGGCATGGTAAGCCTATCCCACCATCTAAGATGGGGTGATATAAAACTTCTTTTCTTATGTCGAGTCTGCTTGTTTTTTTTTTCAATTCTGTATTTAATAATTCTTGGCATTTACTAACAGTATCCAAGTTAACTGTAGTATGACGAGCCAAATGAAAAAACTTAGGGAGAACATAAACTGACAGTGTTAATGATTTGGCCCTCAAAGATTTACTTAGTGAAATTAACCCTCGATGTTTTTGAATTTGTGAACTCAACAATAATTCAATATTTTCAATTTTTTGGGAAGTGTAAAACAAGACACCAAGTATTTTTGTTTCCTTGACTGATTTATAGGGTGATAAATCAGGTATGGAAAGCACTTCGCTTTTACTTATGTTAATCATCATTTGAGTTTGTTTGCAAAATGTATCGATTAAGCGAAACAACCTGTCAATACATCGGATTTTGATAAGGCAAGTTATGTCGTCTGCAAATGAAACTAGTTTGGGGCACAATATCCCGAAACCTTCAATTGCTTCTGTAGATTCAATTGCTTGAAGAAGGGGTTCGATAAAAACTATGAATAAAAATGCGGAAAGAGGGCAACCTTGTCTCACACCGCGATGAATTTTGAAGCTGGCTGATAAAAAACCATTTATCTCAATTACTGCTTTTGAGTCTAAATACAAAGTTTCAATAGCTCTAACTGAAAGCTCATCAAGGTTTAACCCTTTCAAAATTTTGATGAGAAGTGATCTGTCAACTCTGTCAAATGCTTTAGAAAAGTCTAATTTTACAGCACATGAACCTCGGGTAGCCAATCGTTCTGGAGTAATCGCTTTTTTCAGTTTTCGTATTGCTGTGTGCATTTGTCTTCCAGGCAAATACGCGTGCTGATGGTTTTTTACAACTTTGCAAAGGTCATTTTTAATTCGATTACAGACTACATGGGCAAAGATTTTCGCGTCAGTATTCATAAGGCTGATGGGGCAAAAATCTTGTACTGCTATGGCATTTTCAGATTTCGGGATTAGTTTGATTATTGCTAAATGAAAACTGTTTGGAAGTTTTCCACCATGAACAAAATGATTAAAAACTTTAGCTAAAATTGAACAAAAGTCATCCGTGAAAGTCTTGTATAGCTTAGAAGTAAGGCCGTCTACTCCAGGCGAGCTTTTCAAATTCAATTTGTTTATAGCCAAGTGAATTTCATCTTCTGTAAAGTAATTATAGCCATCATTCTCATTTTTTTCGAGTTTATTTTTTGATAAAAATGTCTTTAGTAGTTGATCGGAGTCTGTTGTAGAACTATTGGAAAAAAAATTTGAAAAATACTTTCGAAATTGATTAAGAATATCTTCATCCGTATAATAAACGTTCTGATAATCTGAAAAATCTTTTTCCTTGGAAACTTTTTGAAGATGTTCCAGCAACAAATGATATTTTTCAATCAAATTAGTGTTGGGACCTTTTCGCTGTGAATGCAATCTCTGAGAACATTTTCGTGATACTTCAATAAATTAAGTTCTTTCTGATCTACACGCTTTTTGTTCTCTTGAATAAACCTCAGAAGGTCACGAAAATTGTGCTTAAAGTTTTCGTAACTACTTGGTGATTCGTTTTCGTAAAAGTTTTTTAGGTCTTCACGAATTAAGCTGGCGTTGTTGTTTAAAATTTCTTCATTTAATTTACAGTAACTAGGGCCGCGCTGATACAAGTTAGATGGCTTAACAAAACGTGTAAGAGCAAATGATCAGATATTGTTATTTGAATGCTTTGCATAGAATCATACTCTGTTTCGAATTTTAAGAAGACATAATCTATGCGTGCAAAAGTTTTATTGTGTTTGTTATAATGTGTATAATCACAAAAATCATTCTTGAGTGCAAAATCAACAAAACCAAATCAGTCAAGAATTTGTTCTTTGAGTTGGGTAAATCGTTTGATAAGTGCATCATTTAACTTAAGTATTGAAGAACTGTTAATATTATCATAACTCAGCGCATTAAAGTCACCCATTATGATAATTTTCGATTTGTTAGGTAAAAATCTGATGCTTAATTTCAGGGAATTCAAAGTTGCTCGGAATTAAATTGGGTTCGCATAAACGTTGATAACAAACCAATCAAGTTTGACAATTTTTAACAATTGAAAACCTGTACTTGAAGCAATTCTTTTTGCAGGACTCAAGTTTGATGACCATAACGTTAAGAAACCACCAGAATTATTTGAGCCCGGGATGAAATCGAATAAAACATTATATTTATCCAGTAAACTCAAATGTATATTTGTAAGTTTCGATATTTTTGCTTCCTGAATGCACAAAATGAAACTGGGCGATTTTTTTAAAGTTGGCATTTTTTGACAAGTGAGTGTAATTTAGCTGGATTTCCTATGCTAAAAATATTAACGGAAAAAATATCTGGTTTTTCGCACATAGAAATTTTTGCTAAAACTTCCCTCCAGCCAAGTCTTTTCCGTTATTTTTAGATTTCATTTTTGGCCCTTTCTTCCGTGTTAAAATTGACCAAGAGGTTGGTGAAGTTTCACGCTCTCTTTTTGTAAGCATTCTTCCGTCAGAGGAACATTTTCGTTTGTTATTTTCGATATTTAATTTGTCTTTTTTTTCTTTTGCAGAGTAAGAATGAAAATCTACGACCTGATTGTTGAGAACCTCATCCTTTTGTTTTTCTTCGCTTGGAGTAGCTGCACTGTTTGTTTTAGATTCATCAATCAAAACTCCAGATGGTGGTGCTTCAACATTCTTATCTTCTTCATTTTCGGTACCATTACAAAACTTATCGCTTGTTGTTTCGTCATCGTTTTTCTCGTCGCTGGCATTATTGGAGCTTGGTTTTTGTGGGTAGTGATTATTTGGATTTTTGGTTATTTGGTTCCCTATGTTACACCAATCATCGTGATGACCTTTTTCTTGGCGTCCAGACATCTTGCATTTTTGACATTCATGTAGTGAAGGTATGTGAAACGAGATTTCTACACCTTCCCACATTTTGAAGCCATCCATTCTCGATTTATAAGACCAGTCCTTCAGCTTTTTCTCTTGTTTTTCGTTTTGTATTTTAACTTCTAAAATTGCTCTTCCTGTGTAAACATACTGACCCGGTTCAGTTACGATACAGGTCTCACGTTGGAATATGGGGCTATGAATTATGTCTTCTGGTAATTGGAGAATTAATTTCGCTTCGATATCGTTGCATACATAAGGCAAGTTCGACAATTTGATTTTTGCTAGTTTAGGGTAAATGTTCTTGGGTCTATGAGACCTTGGAAAGCATCCCATGGGAAATACCGTCCTGTTAAGTAGAATGATTCCTTCGCTTTTGATGCTAGTTATGAAATGCTCTGCTTCGGGGGGAGCAATAACTGTCAGTGTATGAAGTTTGCGGTCATCTTTCGTCACGGTTATTGTTTTTGAGATTGTCATCTTCTGTTGCATTGTTGTGGGGAATTGTTTAAGTATATCGGAAGCACAACTTCGATATGCCTGCGCCAGATTTTCAGTTGACCATACAATTTCTCTCGAGAATGGGGGGATGATTTTGATTATTTGGATTTGTTTTGTTTGTGTCGTCGATTTGTTTGCTGTTAGCGCATTTCTGAAATTTGTCTCCGTTTCAATCAGCACTTCGTGAGTAATTGGTAGCTGAGATTCCGTCAGTTGTTGTTGACTCATGACTTGGTTTTACTCAATGGGGGGCAAAAAAGCCTTCACCCGTAGGTATACTTGAAAAAAAAATTAGATTTTTCTCTTTCAAAATGTAGAAATCAGAAGTCAAAAACATCAACTATATTGCACGTGCGTAAACTTGTAAACTTAAACTATAAAAAGTTTTAAACTTGTAAACTTGCGTATATTGTAAACTTGTGGACTTCTACTGTTATATATCCTTTTCAAATCTATAGTTTCTCGAAAACAAATTTTCGTTCAACAACGCAATTCAACAATTTGCATGTGATGTTTAATAAAATCAAAATGGATTGATTCCTTTTGTGGTGAAATGCAGCACTGGAAGCATCTGCATGCAATACTCATTTTCGATCTATTGTCCGCATAGGGACCTTTTTCAGCTTTCACTCGTAATAACATTGATCGATTTTTGTTGCGGATTTTGGCTGTTTTTCTCACGTGGCTCTTAATTTTTTCTCGAAGTTGAGACATTATTTTTCTTTAGAATCTGAACGCTCCTTAATATGATGCCACCGATGACCTCTTACGAGCTTTCTTTGGGTAGTTAAAATCGGGGGGAAAAGAAACACAAGCTATGTACATTTTTGTGAAGATGATAGAAACAATGAAGTTGTTTTAAATATTCAGAGCTGATGAAATTCGTTTGTGCTTTTTCAGATGAAATCTGAGGTTTTGGTCATCGCCTTTCATGGGTCTCATTATTGCTCATAATTTAGAGCGTTTGTACCAGTCAATAGCTTCTTCATTTAACAAGTATCATGGGTGCGTCCAATAGCTCGTCGAAAAATCAAAAACACCTTCTAGTGCTGGGCTTAGATAATAGCGGTAAAACAACGATAATCAATTCGCTGCTCCCAGCTAACCAGAGGGACTCAGATGTTGTTCCAACTGTAGGATTTGCAATTCAGCGAGTGAGAATACCAGGTTCGGGATTGACAGCATCTTGTATTGATATGTCAGGTAGTAGCAAATACAGAGATTTATGGTCAAAATATTTCAGCGAAGCAGACGGTATTGTTTTCGTTGTTGATGGATCAGACGAACTTCGCTTGGCTGTAGCGAAGGACGAGTTCGAAATGGTAATAGATAACGCCGCAATAAAAAGTAGAAGAGTTCCAATTCTCGTTCTCAGTAATAAAAAAGATGTGAGAGGGCACAAAACTGCAGCAGAAGTATCTCAAATATTAGAGTTAACATCTTTAAAAACAAACAATTGGAATATATGCGATTCAAACGCTATCAGCGGCGATGGTCTAACGGATGGTTTCAGCTGGTTGTCGAATCAAGTATCCGGAAAAAAATAAGTTGCATGCAGTTCATCATTTTATCAATTTATTTATCGTTGACTGTGTTATGTGTATCCACTGTATCATGAGTTCGTATTAGAATTTAATTTAAAACAAAATGGTTCAATTAACCATAAGTCTCCTAAATCTAACCCTTGAAATATTCAAACCGAAATAAGTTTTTGCTGTTTTCAATTTCCCTCCACACTTCAGTTTTTTCATTTTCTTTATTGTTTTTCTTGTTATTATGGCTAAGTATAAGATGTTTACGATGTAAATTAAGAAGAACAAATCTGTTCACACAATTAGTTTGTTTAATATGCGAAGTTTCATTGCGTTATGACAACTCGAAAATAATTTTTCAAAAAAGAATTTAAAATGTAAGGGGAAAGTGAAAAAAACTCTACATATCATAACACTCGGTCTGTGGTCAATTAGCACAGAATTTTTAAGAGACTACTAGTTTTTTATCCATTTTCTGTAGAGACTTCTTTCAAAAAAGATCCGAAAGAAAAAAAGAAAAAACTCGGATTTGATCCCAGAGTATCTGCATTACAATTTTAGGCGATCTAATTTTGTTTGTTATCAGGATTTAATTTTTTCTGTGGAATCTTTCAGTTCTAGGTCAATCTTGTCAAAAAATTGTCTCACATACTGACATACATATATGCTAAGACGTTTTTTGCCAGAAGTTTTCTAGTATGTTATCACTATCAACTCCGTGGTGTTCCCATAAAGGTAGTTTCTTAATGGCGCCCAATATTTGAGTGAATAACATCCCTAGCCCTATCAGTTCGTCGAATGAAACATTTGCCTAAACAATCACCTTTTTTGTGATATTTTATTTGTTTTATTTGAATTTATATGAGCAAAAAAATTGGATGAAGGCCAAGAAAAGAAGCAGTAACTGCATTTTTAAAACGTTTCAGAGTTTGCTTAATGATGATCTGGATTTGCATTCAGCGCGACGTTGACCCATTTTGAGCTAAATATTTCAAATCTCGGCTAAATGACTCTCGTCGGAGGAGACGGCAGCAGCTACAGGTAGTTTCAATTCTAAAATTTTCCAGGAGTTTAATAAAGACAATACTCATTTAGGTAATTTCGGGTTTCTCAGGAACAATTTGAATCAATATCTGGAAATAACTGTTTTCGAATTTTCAATCGAAAGGTCAGTCAGTGGTTCCAGGGCCACGCTTATCCGTGCTCGTTGCTTGAGGGCGAGGCAACATTACTTGTAAAATAACTTGAAAAATTCTATGTTGTATTTAACCAGGGTCTCAACCGCAGTTCTTCATAAAGTTCTGTAGAACTCGTATGTTGGTCCTTCCATTGTGGATAAATCGTCTGAGCCTGATTATGATTTAGCAATTGAATTGGGTGATATATTACTAAAGGTGGCAGATTCAAGTTTAGTAGCTGGATCGCTTTTTGTCGCACTTCGAACAGTATTTATAATTAATTTCAAAATTCAAACTTTTTGTCAAAAGAAGTGTGAAATTTTGAATAAAATTTTATTTGGCTGAGTAAATTATCAACAAAAACTATCTTAGCAGCATGTACAATTGACTTTAAATGAAATATCTATTTTATGCATTGTAGTTCTCAATTAAATACATGCACTATAATTAAAATTACCACCTATTGTAACATATCACCTTGAATTGTTCCCTAGGATCAAAATTGGTTGCAACAATCGATTTGTTTTTGCGGTCAATCTGAATGATTTGGTTTGGACGGTGGTGTGAATTTGGTTTTGTTTCAGCGATCGGTATCGATTCCTGGATCAGCAGAAGTTGAATGAACGCACTCAGCGCACTGCCGTCTCTCGAGAGAGGGCCAAACTTCTCTCCCAGGCCACGAACAAGCGAAGAAGGTAAGCGTCTTTTCTGCTATACGGCCCAAAACTGCTCTTTTGTTATTTTGAAAATTACATCATAAATCTCGAATCTGATTGGTTGAAGTTATTAACAACTACTAACAGCAAAATAAAATCAAGGCTTTCATTATAAACAGAAGCTCGATGAACCATTTGGCAATTTTGGGCCGTATAACAGAAAATACCCGGAGGTGAATTTTGTGCTGCTTCTTCAAAAGCATCCGATGAATGTCAACCAAGATAGAGGGGAATTTTTCGTCAATGTCTATCTATTCGTATCGAATATATACTTTTAAATCGATTAATGGAAATATTCGATATTCGAAACATTGCAGAACTGAATGTTTTAATGAAATTGAATAAAGTTTGTCGAAAGCTTGCATAACAGATCCAATATATAATTCCATTAATCCATATTGTTCAACCATTTTAGAAAAAGGAAGGAACTACGGCGTAGGGTGTTTTTTTTTCCAGCCGATTTTGACTACCTCAAAGAAGGCTATTAGTGAGTCAATGGTATCTTATTCAATCCCTTTTAGCTGTGATTCGTGTTTTTTTTTTTCAAAAAAAATCATTAAATTTCCTATTTTCTTTTTCTTGGAGATTTTTTCGATATTTTATTTATCATCAACTGGTTTTTATGGCTCAGCAACCATTTCAGTCTCCTCTCTCTTACTGAAATGTATACAAAAGCATATACAGTTTTTTCTTATTTTATGCATTTTTCTTATCGTACATTTTGATACAAAAGTTGGCGTGGTGGGAGAATTCTTGTTTGCTTCTTGCATTACAACTCGCTATTCTTGTTAGCGTAGTTTTTAGCTCAAAATTGAGAGAAACCCGTTCAATTTCAGGGCAATTGAAGAGAAGCGCTCGAAGGAGGAGAGGCAAGAAGAGGAAAGGAGAGAGGCCATTCTAGCCCAGAGGAGAGAGTGGCAGAACCAAGCCACCATCCGGTTCCAAAGAGCCCATTTGCCCCCCGAGAAACGAAACTTCAAATTCAACAGTACGACCCCCTTATTACCTGAATTCGAAAAACTATTGATCGTAACCTTTTATATCAGTTGAATATGTCATTTCTCACATTGCATGCATGGTTTGTGATAGTATCATCGTCTCTCGCGAGCGCCCATCGTAGATTTGCCGTCAAAAATCAAACGAAAAATTTGTTTTTATTTATGCTAAAAAGCATCCATTAATGGCGGTTTGAAACAAAAAGTAAAAAAAAATAAAAAAACTCAAAGTTTAAAATTTAATTCATTGTTTACTTTGCATGACTGCATCCAATTAACCATTTCAAAGTTTGTGTTGGTGTTTTCTCCTTCGTTTATTGTATTGCGACCCCCCTTTCAATAGGAGTGCGTCCTCGAACTCCCCCTCGCAGCATATCTGTGGAGGATGCCCTGCGCACCATCCAGACCCAGAAGTTCGAGCGTTCCAGCTCTTTTCACCGCCAACATTCCAAGAGTCCAGACGGGTTCCAAGGTTTGATCAGCTGCACAATTCTACTACTCAGTGTCATTCATTAAGCTATTCCCATGTAGTATTCACCTTCAGATATCACAATTTCACTCTTGTAAAGCAAGTTTGTGCACGTTTACTATTAATCAAGTGCCAATAATGAAATCAAGTTCTAATATTTTTGTATCATTCAAACCAAGAGGCATACTGCACCATGTTATCCAGAAACCAGTAAAAAAATCCTAGGCACGTTTGTAAGGCAAACTTTTGTGTGGCATACTTTGCACTTGTAAAACTTCAAGGTCACTTAAATTTCAAAAACACATTTTTGAGAAAATGACTTAAAATTTTTCAGGAGGTTCTTTCTTCGGAAGCAAAGACGAAAACAATAACGCATCAAACTCACCATACGCTCAGCCTCAATACATTCCTGGTTTCCATCATCACTTCTCCAGGTCAAACTCCGGATTCGCATTCCGAAGCGCACACAACTCCTCTTTCACCCACGAAAAGCAAAACGACGAGGACGAAACTTCCGAAAGAGTTGCTAGAAATAACAGTGAGAGGGCGAACCAAAGTGGAACCTATCCGAACAGCACTGGGGTTGTGAGGAGTCATTCGGCTGGTCAGGCGACTTCGCTGGCGAGAGATAAACTGAGAATTGTAACTGAGACATATAACATACAACCTTACCAACAGAGTCAGAAAAAGAATCGGTGAGTGTTTTTCTACGCGAAGAAATATAACAGATAAATATCTGTTAGTCTAATTTTCAGCGCCTAAAGTGATCGAGTAACGTTCGTTATATCGAGTAACGTTGGCTTCCTTGGCAATAAATTTTTCTAGGTTAGCAAAGTTTAAGAATTATTGTGTAAAAAGCGAAAAAAAATTTAGAAGATTTTTTTGAATTTTATTATGCACAATTTTTTTTTGTTATTAAAGGACGCAATAAGAGGCCAATAAGCCGAAATAATATAGGCCGAAACCTAAATAACCGAGAAAAAATAAAATAAAATTTTTTAAAAACTGAAATATATAATACCATTTGCTGTGACATTTGATTTGTAATGAGTCAATCGAAGCAAAAAAGCTATTATTTTCATACAGCTGTGCAATAATTACCCGTTTCACTCTGAACTGCAGCAGTCGCCTCTCTGTTGCAAACTGCAACAGACATATTTTGGCGTATTAGAATTTTAATATTCGTCCTGTTCGAGATTTGCTTTTTAGGTTGGTCGTAATTTTACCAACTTATTTTTTTCTTCAATTTCATTTTTTTTGTTTTTCTCCTTTTTTTCTCGGTTAACTAGGTTTTGGCCTATATTATTTCGGCTTATTGGCCTCATATTGCGTTCTTTAATAATAAAAACAAATTGAAGGGGATGGAGCTTAAACAACTTTTTGTTAGTTTTTAAGTCTTTGATTTTAACTTCATTTTTTTCTAGGGTTGATAAATTTCGGCCTATTTTATATCGGCTTATTGGCCTCATATTGTGTCGTTTGATGGGCGAAAAAATTTTGGGTTTGTTTTTATTTAGTGGGTGTTTTGTGTTATATCACAAGTGGTGCGAAGATCAGCTACACCTCTATGTTTCATTTTTTTTATTTGCTATTAAATTTTTCTAGTTAAATGGTGTTAATGATGCATAATTTTCTAATTTTATACGCGTTTATTAGTTGTCTCGTCAGACCATGCACAAGAAACGAAACTAATTTGTAGAAAACAAAGAAAGTTTTTTTTTGTTTTTTAATACGATTGTGGTCGGAACATTCTGTGCTACTAGCTCACCAACCGGCTGTCCTTTTTAAATGTTGATTTTGGAAATTTATAAATTTAGAAAACGTTTAGTTTTAGGATAGACGTTGTATGCACTCTCCAGTTTCTTTATAGTTCACTGGTTTGCAATATCCATCATATGTTTCCGTTTCTCATATTTTTCTTGATTTACTTACTTTTTCATGGTTTATTGCTGACATTTTTCTTGACTCGGAAGCCGAAATTAATTTTCAGTGTGAGATAATCACATCAAACTAGAATTCCAACATAATAAGAATATTACTTAATTTTAATAAGTTTATTACACTTTCAGGGTTATTTTTTTTATAAGCTGTAATCTAAAAACTAAAAAAATTTCTGCTGATGTTTTATTTGTTTGATGCAATTATCTCGCACTGAAAACTAATTTTGGCATCCGAAAAAAGCAAAAAATTCCTCCGAGAAACCGAAGGTCAATTTACCTGACTTTTGTTCAACTGCTTACGTGTCAACATGTCATCGAAATAGGATCTCATTCATGGACAAAATTTTATCATCTAATGAAACACAGCTGTTACTACTGCTATAAGCTAAATTGGAGATTTGTATTGTTATTTAGAGCAGTTAAAAATGTCGGCTTGTTTCGTTTTAGACCAGACAGTGCTTCGCCGAGTTCGACCACCACCACCATCATACAATTGGACACCCCGTCTAAGACCCAGTCTGCGTCCTCATTACATCACAAACTCATCCAGCAGCAACAGCCAAAAACACCAAGTAGGTTCATCAAGCTCTGCAGATATTTCAATCAGTGATTGAATAATTGTTGCCAATCAAAAATACAACTACACATCGTGTAAACTACATCTATAAGTCATCTAAAGAGGAACTGAGGCTTGGCATGTTACTCTTCGCTCTAAAATGGCTGAAAAGAAACAAATATTTAAACCTCTTTTGTCACTAGTTGTCATTGCGAGTCACTCGAATTGCGACTGAAAGGCTTTTAATTAAACAAGCGAAGTAGTGAGATTTGTGTTATAATACGAGTCTATTTTTCCATTGGAACTCATTAATAGCATGTGTATATAGATTGCCAAAAATTCATAAGTATAATTATCAGATTTGTACTCAAGATGTTTTAACACGGTGTTCGATGGTTTGGGATAAAATTTAAATCAATGGTAATGAATTGTTATTTTTTGTTCAAAATAACGTTAATATGATGTTTTTTTCTGGCCGTTGCTAAAACGTGTTTTCGATTCAGACGGCCACTTGGAAACGGAGCAACGGGAGAAAATTGGTCGAGAAACATACCAAATGAACAGCATTGGCCCAAAAGGCAAACCACCCGTGGCGCCCACTCGAAGTCATTTTGGCGGGGGAGACTCAGCAGCGACTGCCAGTTCCCATGCAAATACTCACGCTAGCAAAAACGCCTTCGAGAAACAGATTGAAATTCAGCAGAAGAAGTTAGTCGAAATGCAGCAGAAAACAGTCGAGGATTTTCAGCGTGCTCTGAATCAAACGGCTGCTTTGGTGCCAGATCATGTTAAAACTACACATACATCTGAAAACGAACCAGAGAAGATATCTAAAGATTCTCTAGATGGTGATTCGGATAGCAGCGACAATGAGCTGGAAAAACAACATCAAAAGAATAAAAAATCTGCATCGCGGCCAATGAATCCGGAACCCCTTGATGATGCTACCAGACCTGAAGGTGCTTCAGTAACTGAAAAGGGTCCGAGTCACAAGTCTCCGACTCCTAATAGTGGGCTCAAATTCAGAACTCCACAAAGCACTGAAACGATTTCAGCTGAACAGGCTAAATCTATAATAAGTCCACAGATACCAAATACTTCAGATTCTAATGAGAAGAACTCAACAAGCGAGTGGAAAAATGAAGCTGACAAAGAAGGAAACGGCTCGAGTAAATCTGTTGTTATACAGAGACCAACAACTGCACAAATTAAGCGCAAACCGCTTCCTGTCAATTCAGCGAATACTGTTGCGAAAGCTATTGAGACGAAAACTAATTGGGACGAAGATGATCAAATTGGGTTCAATAGTCCAAGTCCTCAAAATGCTGGGCAGAATTTCACCTCAGTTAATGGCGATCATTTGAATGGAGGATCCAGGAGTCTCAAACAGGAACCTGGTCCGACAACCAGTTCCTCTGGGTCTTCTATTGCTGCGGCCAAAACGCCATTGCAGTACATAGCCTACACTCCGATTAGAAAATGGGATTCCCCCGGATCCACTAGTCCCAAACCGGTGGCTCAAGTAGCTCCTGTTCCAAGCACGCCACCTGAGAAAAGCGCCCCGAAAGATACTGCTGACCGAACCAAATATATGCAGAATGAATTAAGCGTGAAAACAGAGGTCGTTCAGCCAAATAACTCAGATGTTCAGAATGGTGTAAGTCAGAACCTGAACAGCAAAGATTTGAAACATTCGGCTAAAATGTACATGAACGGTTTGCAGCAGTCTTTTGGTCCTCAAACTGTACCTACGGTAGCTCATGTAATAGACCCACAATGGTCGATTTACAACAACAGTCAAAAGTCAGTTAGTTCGACTGAAAGTTCGTCAGCTAGTAATGTAGACAAGGTTTACGATGCGAAGCCGAAGCAAGATTTGAGCTCCCATCTAATGAATGGTGGCGGTAATTTTAGTTCCGAATCAATAGCTACTCAAGAATCTAGTGTCAATTTGAACTTTCAGCACGAAGATCAAGATTTCAATAATCAGCAGCCTCAGAAATCCTTAATACCTGTACCAATTAGCAGAGAAAAAGACATGGGTTCTAGAAACGAAAACGATGAAAGTTCTAGGGACCAAATCGCAAGGAAACCGGAGAAGCTCCATCAAACTGAAACTTCGAAGAGTTCGAGTACTGCGAAACAGACGCAAAAGAGTTCCGTTGTACGTCAAGATTCAGACGGTTCCACCGGAAGTCATAGAAGCAGGCCTGAAATTCGAAGTTCGTCTCCCTTTGACCGACTGCTCGACGGGTCGAATGCCGACGAAATCGAAGAGTTAGACGCGATGGATGAATTTCTACCTCAGCCTAAGAGCATCTTGAAAAGATCACTCAGTCTTGAAAACTGCCAGATAAAAGTTAAGGATAGTCTAGATATCCAAAGTACTAAACGTCTTGCCAAAACTCCAACTCCAACGGTCGAGAAACCGGGTTCTGCTAAGCGGTCAGTTCGCTTTGCCGAGACTGTTCAAGTTCAGTGTAAAGACGAAATAGACGAGCAGATGCCGCGATCGCACGCACGTGCAATGTCAGCAAGAGCTGGCGTGCGAATAGCCGAATCACCTGATCGCTCTCGCAGGGCTACACCCAAAAGTGCTCCTCTGAAACCACCCGCGTCTCAGAATGTTCCGAGCGAAATTGAAAACATAAGAAACTCGCAAATGCAACCGAATAAACAGCAAAATGGCAACGATAGTGATAACGAATACAGTCTAAATAAAACCCCAACGGATGAAGAAATTAATGCATTATGGGAAAGCATTCGTGAAAATATGTCAGCTAACAAACGTTCCCCGATACCAACATACGACGGTGCTTCAAATCACAAACCACCGGTCTATATCAGTAATAGCAACTCTGGTTATTATAACAATTTCATTAAACCGACCAACTCTCCGCCCGCAGTGGCGAGTCAATACATTGACGGAAGTTTTCTATTTGAAGAGCAAAATCGCCCAGGTCAGATTGGGCAAATTTCTCGGCCAACGAGCGCCGCTTCGATTCCAAGAAAACAGCATCTTTTGGGCCAAAGACAACAGCAGAATACTGTAAGGCCAATCAGCAGTGCAAATGCCGGTGCTTCTAGTTCAAGAGGTGGAGGATCGATTCCCAGTCAGAACTCACCTAGCCCTACTGTTGGAAACCATGCCCCGGTTAGCTAAAATCAAAATAGTTTATAAATTTGATCCGAACTTGTTTTTTGCTGCTTAAAAGTTTATATCTGAAATTTTTGAGAAATTCATGATGTACCTTCAAAGAAGCAAAAAAATAAGTAATTGTTCGTAATTTCTTAAATTTTAGAAAAAACATCAGAAACTCAAGATGTTAGTTAAGATCTAAAATGGAAAGAAAACTGCTGAAATCTTTTTTTTTGCTTATTATGGTAAAAAATCTACAATGTTTTCAAGTTATTATCGTTCGGCTGAATTTTTCTCCCCAGAGTTGGTATCGGTGAATTGCCTGTCGATGAATCCTATTTATTTTTCCTATTCTTTTTATTGCTTGATAGTTCATTGTGGTTATTGTTCCAACTGACAACTGGATTTTTGAGAGGTTGATTCAAACAAAAGTTTATCCGAAAATAACTACCTTCAATCGCAAAAATTATCAAGTTTCTTGTCCTTATTTTTTTCAACCAAGCCTTTTTGATTGCTACTTCTTGCACAATTAAGATATATATTGCACCATGTAGTGTGTGTGTGTGTGTGTGTGTGTGTGTGTGTGTGTCTGTGTGTGTGTATGTGTGTGTGTCTGTGTGTGTGTGCGTGTGTGTGTGATTTCAATAAAAATTCTTTGCCTGGAAACTTACAAACAAAAAAAACGCCGAAAAATGTCTAAAACTTCAATGCTTTCTAAGCTTTCTGGGAACTTTTCATCAGCTGCCCTCGCTCGTCGCTCATTTCAAATAGAAATTTTCAGCAGAAGCTAATCTGATGAAAAAATTGCGAAGTTTTTGCCGCTCATAGAGATATGCGCACACAAAAATTTTTTTTGTTCCGACTGTTGCAGAAAAGATGGAGTATTTATGCTCGGAGTTTTATCTTCAGACGACAAATTACTGAATTTTTAACTAGCCCTTTTTAAACAGATTTTCATACCACCTGGAAAGTTTTGGTGCCCTGAGCACACATATTTTAATTAAGATTAGTTTTTGTGGGGGTTGGAAGTTTTTTTATAAGGGGTTTGGAAATTGACAATTTGGCTAGTTTGGGGAAGTTTTTTTTGCGATAATTTTTGTTCTATATAACCCCAAGCAGCTTGAACAGAGCTATATGAGTTTTTCATTTCGTTGAAAAACGGTCATTTTGTCACTTCCTTTTTTATTTATTGTGTTGGGAAACGATTTTCCCGGAAAAGTTCTTTATTTTTGAACTTGTATCAATTTTTAAAAAGGTTTTAACAAAAATTTGTGCAAAAATATTAAAGGGGAGTCGGATTATTTAGGACGTTGCCCTGATACGAGCGGCTTTGTTATGCATCTTTCAAAGAAAGGGATGGACTGTTTTGGCTCTGGGTGGTTTTTTCTCCAGACTAATTGTGACTTTTTAACAAGCCCTTTTTACTACATTTTTTTGATGTCATCTGAAAGTTGGGGTGGTTTTTTATTCGTTCAATTCGGTCAATTCATTCAGTCGTTCAATTCAGTAAATGAAAGCATTGGCTCCCTGAGATCAAATAGAAAATATATTTTACCTCAGATCATTTTTGGCAAAGTTCTGGGAGTTTGAAAATTGCCAATTTGGCCATGCTCTGGACTAAATTAAACGCGTTTTGAAGATTTTATTTGTAATGCTGAAAGCGTAACGCGAATTATTTATGCGTGGCGAATAATCCCGCTCAACAAATATTTTCCAAATTGAATTGAGGCTAGCTAATCGGTCGTATTAATTTTGCAGCCTAGACTCCGGTTAGAAAATGGGATTCCAAGCACGCCACCTGCAAAAATCAAGCACGCCACCTATTCCAGGCACGCCACCTGTTGGAACAATAGGCTAGATAATCAGCCGTATTAATTTGGTACGACTCAATTTTTTACTCTTGATTTTTGATTTTGTCCGAAATTTAAAGTTTATCAATTTTTTCTTTTCCCAAAAACCATTTGATATGGATTGGAGGGCAGTCGAAACATTCAGGGTTTTGCCCTGATATACGGGCAGTCTTGTTGTGAAGATATGGTGGTTTGAAAACTGCCAGCTTGGCTAGTTTGGATAATTAACGCGCGATATATTTCGTCCTATTTAAACGTAAGCAGCGAATGAAATTATTTCAAATTGAGTTGAAGCAAACATTATGGTATCAAAAATACGTTATCAGACACGAAATATATCAATGATATATCAATGTATACTAAAAAAAAAACGTCCGGAAGGATGAAACAAAGAGAAAACTTTTTGTCGACTTAACCGTTACAACCGAAGCTTGAAGCTGAATACATGTTTTTTTATGCAATATTCTATCGGCGACACAATTTTAACGGCTTTTTTGGGAGGAAATAGCGAGGTTTGAAAAAAAAAAGATTTTGATTTTCGATGCTAAATAATGAGTCGATGAAGTACTGAATTTTGCTCTCTTGTTGAGAAGTTAACGCTCCTACGTAGCAAAAGTGCTTATTAAAAAGCCCAAAAAATGGGTATTTAAATCGAAGAATTTTAAAGAAACAAGATTTTCAGTATAAGTCAAAATCAGCGGATTTGATCTAATTTTTGCACTCAAAAACTTCTCCAACATGCGTCGTGTATTTAATTTTGTGAAACTCGTGTTTCATAAAGTTTGTGCTTGGTGTGTTACTAGATGTGTATTACATGATTTGTGTTACATGATTTTGGCTACTAGATTAACGTCATGACTTTGTGTCTTAGCTTTGTGAAAATTTCTTTACTTTCGATAATTAAACCAATTTGCCATGCAAAAGTTGATTCTTTGAGGGTCAATTAAGTTGCGCAAGTTGTCAAAAAGGGGTTGATTTTGATATGAGATACTTATAGCATATTCCACGATATGATTCGGATGCTGGTTCTGGTCGATATGTTATTTTCAACTATTCGGCTCTTTTGAACTGTATTACATTTTGCAGATTTGTGAATCCGACGGATTGCATTATTATTGGGTAAATCAGTAGCGGATTTAGGGGGGCGGGGAGGGTGGACGCTACCTCCCTTCAGGGATTCTACCCCCTGCCGACTCAAAGGGTCCCCTCTTTGTACTATTTTAAGATATCCATTTTTGGCTAACTGACCCTAAAATTTTTCTAAAGGCGCCTTTGGCGCCAATCTATACTATTTTTGAGGGGGCAGCGCTCTCCGAAAAAACGCGGTTTTTTGGTCGAAATTTCTCAAAAGTTTCAAAAATTTGCCTGCGGCACAGAAAATTTGGCAAAACTAGTGTTTTTATAGTGGTTTAGGAGAGCTCAGAAAATCAATTTGGTCGAAAGGTCGACAAAGTTTTCCATTTTTTTTTGAAAATCCCCCCCCCCCCCCCCCCCCCTCGAGAAGTTCCTTGATCTGCGCCTGGGGTAAATTAAAGTTTAAACTGGCTGAGATAACAGCACGACCTTTTTCACGTAATATCTGAGCAAACCATTTGTCATTGCTTTTTCAAGAACTGTTTTTTGTTCGGTTTGCAAGCGATCAGAAAGCTCTGCTTATCCGCCTCTTTTTGAAAACTCTTTTTGTTGTATCGGTATTTGTGTTTGTGATGTTTTGCCTTCAAGGTAGAATAATGCGCTTTGCTTTATATTAAATTGTGAAAACAAACTTTAATATCAAAGAGCATGGCTTTCATTAATTTGAAGATTCGATGTTTTGCGAGAAGCTTACAATCAAGCAGTCTTTCTGAAGTCTCTATCAAACTGTTTTTGATTACAAAAATAATGGACGAGTTCTGTCAAACTACGGTTTAACATGTTTTGAATATATGAATGTGTTGAATCAACAACTGCTTGTTTTGGTTATGAGTACTATTTTTCATAAAACTATAATAACGATGCTCAGTTTTATTATTCATTATAAGTTTTTCTTACGGCATTGCTAGTTTTGAAAATGTTAGTTGATTGCCGAAAAAATGTTAGTTTTTGACCAAAAGTTTTCCTCTTGAAGAATTATAGCATTGTTGAGAAAGTTTGACCAAACTAATCTAATGTTTTTTTGTTTATAATAACAGCGCAAAAACCTCGATTAGCAGAAATTAAGATCTTTTTTTGGCAAAACTCTCAGAAAAATCCAGTCTGGGATTAGATTTTTTTCTACTGCGTTCAATAATATTTCAATCAAAATATTCTCCTGGAAATGAAAAAGCTTATAAGATCATGCTAAGATTATCTCCGAATTCAAGAACTTGTCAATTAGGAAAAAGGGACCAGATAAAGCTGTCAATTAGTGGTGCCAAGATTTGAAAAAATTCTTGTCTGTACAACCACATCATCATCATCATCATCACATATGTTATTTCGACACCAATTTCTTGAATTCAAAGGTGCCATTTCATCAGAATTTCATGAGATAAAAACAATTAAGACCATTTATCCACGGGGGAACGGACCAACACAAGAGCTGTACAGCTCATCACGGCGAACCGCTGTTGTAAACCTGTTTAAAACAATAGCGGTGTTGAAGGACGTGAGCGGTGTTGAAGTGGTTACGTCTCCGCCTCTCAAACGAAAGGTCAGAGGTACGAGACCCACCATAATCCGTGCACGTTGCATGATGGTGAGGCAACATTACTCTGCAAAGAAAATTATCCAAAAATGCATGAACTTTTTAGCAGGGGCACAACAGCGGTTCTTCATAAGGAGCTGAACTGCTCGTATATTGGTCATTTTATTTGTGGATAAATCGTCTTGAATAGCAATTCTTATGAACGCTGTTCTAAACCGTTCTGTTCTATTCAATAGCTGACGCTGAAAATTGGACCAAAATTAAAACAATTCATGGCAATTAACCTCTCTTATTGTTTGACCTCCAATTAATGTATTTGTTTTCTTTTTAGTTCCCTGGAGTTGTTCCTAAATCCTCTTCTTCTGCGGCCACTTTCTCCTCTTCGTCTGCGTCACACAAAACACAACAGAACAAACAACAGCCTCCCGATACAGGTAAACAACACATCAGAGGCCTACAAACTTGCCAACATTGAAGCTGTGACGTGCTCGATATAGTTCAAGTGTAAACAAAAAAATCGAAGTGGATTTTACTTATTCGTCACTATACGAACTTCATCTGAATCTCATGAAAAACAAAAGTTTCTATTCAATTATTCGCAGGCCATTATTTTAAAATGCTAAAAATTTATCGCATATTGGAAAGCACGTTTTGTTAACTTTTGATCTGGCGGCTTGATTTTTGCATACTCAGACAAAAGGTACTGTTTTTTTTTCAAGCTTCAGTTACCAACATTACACCATGTGGAATCTTAAACGAGATTCACACAGTCTAGAGTCATTTTTAAATCGAAATACAGCAAAGACAAGACAAGATAACAAGCATCGATAGATTTTATTGCGGTGGAAAAACGATTTCCTTGTTTTTAATGTTGATAAGCTGAAAAAAACAATACCTTTTTGATGCACTTGGTGGATGGCAATGCAATTCAGCTGCAGTTTTTCGTACCCTTCTGCTTCTGTCCTGGAATATTTCAGCAAAATGGGTTGTAATAAAATAACGCAAAGGATGGGCTTTTTTGCGTCAAAAGCTAAGGGGTGGATTAAGAGACGATTTTCCCCAATTTTTTTCCCATTATTGGCACCTCACGAATGCGACGGTTTTTTTTCAAAAAGTAGCCTGAAATTGAACTTTGATTCATAAACACGTTGGTTGCTAAAATTTAGCCAGCTTGATTTGTTTTTTAATCTTTTAAGCATTGTGTTGAAAGTTTGTGTTATTTAAAGCGGTTTTTGTACTATATAAATATAATTTGCTCTGCTATAAATGAAAAATACTATTGTTCATTTATTATTATTTCTCCCTGAGGGCACGGGGGTTATTGGAAGTTTCAGACTTAACACTAACTTTAACTTATGCGCGCTTTGTTGTTCCGACTTTCGAAGAAAGAGCGAGAATGTTTGTGCTCGGGGCGGTTTTTTCTCCAGACCAGTTTCGACTTCTTAACTAGCCTTTTTTGAATAAAATTTTTTTTACCATCTGAAAGATATTCACGTGCTAAACTCCTATTTTAAATGAATTTTCATTGTAGTTTTCTGTCAAAAAATTATTGGGGTTTCAAAACAGCCAATTTGGCTAATTTGGGACAATTAACATGCGAAATATTCGTGCTACTAGCGCCTAAGTGGCTATTTAATCTGCTCATAAATTGTTCCAAATGGAACTGAGGCAAAATTTTGAGTGTTATTTCTTCATTACCAGAAGCTAAGAACATCAATTTGTACGTGGCATAGCGTGTGGGGAGAATTTAAAAAAAAAATCAGTTTTTTCACTTTGTTGGTTCAAAGACGTTAAAATGCAGTCGCCGCTAGATTCAAGGCTTCGCCCTGTAACGAGCAGTTTTGTTTCCAATTTATATACGCACTGAAAATAATTCCAAATGAAGGTAACAAAGCGTTTCCGTCAAATTGCTGCAATTATTATCAGATTGGAACCTTAAAGTTTCTCGAAGGATGATCGTTTTTATATCGAAGTTTTTTTTACTGTTACTGCACACAACAAAATCTTTTTCTTAGGTCGCGTTATTTGTTTTATTTTAAAACTTCTAATTTATTTAGCGCTTTCGATTTTGATATTTTGCAGGTTTCACTATCCAGTGTGTTCAGTAAATAAAAGTCAAGTTAAGCTAGCCAATAACAAATAAGTGATGGCGCAAAAATTTATCATGACTCAAAGTTTTTTTACAAAAATGTTCATTCTTTCTGAGATGAAAACAAAAAATGGCTAGATTTTGTTGACAAATGTTTCAACTTCTGTGGTTCAAATAAGAAAATATCAGACCAATTTCTTCTGCAATTCAAAATAGTTTTGCCTTAAATACTAGTTTTGATAAAAGCATATAAATTTGAAAAAATTGGACCTATAAGTATGTTTCTTACTCCACTGCAAAAACTTAAAATTTAAATCCACTTTTCAAACTTTAAGTCTTGACAAGCTTTTGCGTCATTCCTTTCTAATTATTGCAGAGAATGTTTTGCATTCCATATTTTGAATGAATAAGAGCGCGAACATAACAAGATATGAAAAGTAAAGCCGCCAAAACATAAAACTGACAATTTTTCAACCTGTTCTCGGAAAAAATGAAAAAACTACATAATTAAAACTTTCACTTAATTCATTGACACTAGAAATTTTTAAAATCAAGCCGCTGAAAACCACTTTCGAGGGTGAACCGTTTTTTTAGATTTGTCCTGCAAAAGACCTATAGAAAGCGTTACTTTTGTACATTAACACTGAATCAAACTTCAATTAAAAGAGATTTTGATACATCTCAGAAATGTGACTTGTTGAAATACTGTGGTGTTAAAGTTCTTAACTTGAAACAGCTTCAGTTGAAAATTCAAGTCGTTCAATCTGAAAAAGACAAAATTTCATACACAAATTGGGGTAAAAAATTTAAAGAACAACAGATAATTTTTTCTAGATCAATGTTGAATGAGGTTATACTTTTTCATCAACGCCTCAGATTTCTTTTAAGTGTCAATAAACGCAGCAAAGACACTTAAAAGTTCTGTTCTTTAAAGGTTTTTTTTCGAATTCTTTTACTAAAAGGAAGGCAAATTACTACGCTTTTTTTTGAAAGTGCAAATGGCGGAAATAAACGTGAATGACTGTTAGTTTCCATAATTTTCAAATTTTCCCGTGGAATAAAAATCAATTTTGATCTTGTTTTCTCAAATCAGGTTACAAAAGTGCCTATCAGTAAATGTTGGAAATTTAAAATAATTTTTACATGATATGTTTTTTTTTCGAAATTCAAAAAATTTATTGTTTGGTTTTTTTGGTTCATTGAAATTTTTCCAATTCTGTTTTGGCTATGTTCGAATGCTTTTGCATAATCCATCGTCCAGTTTTCGCTCTATTTACATTCATGGGGCGAAAACCACATGGTTAGATAAGGCAGTATTAGTTAAAAAATTTATCCATAGTTGTACCTGTACCTTTGGTTCACAAAGCAAATCGGCTAAGACGGAGTCAAATATTGTAGAAGTAAAAAATTAAGTTCGAAAAAGAAGTCAAACCGATCTTGTCGAGCATGATTGTCAAACTAACATGTTTGTCCTTAGGCGCCTATATGTACTTATTTTGAGGGGGAGGGAGCGCCGAAAACGCAATTTTTTGGTGAAAATTTTCTAAAAAGCGCCTAAAAACGCCATTTTTGGCCCGTTTTTTAAAATTTTTCTGCGGGGAAGAAATTTCAGTCAAAATACGGTCATTACAGTGATTTGGGAGAGTTCAGAAACTCAATTTGGTTGGCCTAAAAAGTGGACAATTTTTTTGAAAATCCGCACCCCCCTCAAGAAAATCCTAGATCCGCCCTGAGTAGGAGAATCCTCTGATTTCACTGACTATTTAAGAATGTTAGCAATTATTTTATCCTCTTTCGGTTTCGTTCCAGTGACGAACAGTCTGGCGCAGTTCGTGGCGGCCGAGGACCTGTCCAACATGTCTCTGAGTGAGGGCCAGATTGAGGACATCCTGCGCCAGCTGCAGTCCAGAAGAAACGTCACCCAGCTGTCTCTGGAGGAACAGAAGCTGATGATGTCACTCGAACACCTCAACAACAAACTCAAACGTACCTCTTTTCTTTCATTTCACTTTCCTCCTTAGAAACTGAACGACTCTCGTATGTTGTTCCTTTTATGTTCATCCCACCTTTCGAAATCATAGGCTGTCTTGTCCTCCTCGTTGGCCAATTTCTCGGATCGGCTAATTTTACTTTTAGAAATCTCTTGAACGAGTAAAAAACTCTTTTTCGGCCAAATTTTTATGAACTGCAGGTGAAATTTACGACACTTCCCTGTTGGAATTTTTCTGGCCAAACCTTTAATTTTCTCAATCGTTTTTCCACCGTACAACTTATTATACACACTTAAGTCCTCATCAAACAGAAATTGCTGCTAGTTATAAATGCTAGTGCCCTCATAGATTATTCTGAGAAGTAAACAGAATTGTAATTTCTGTTTTTGCCAAAGCGGTGAAAGTTTCTTTTTAAATAGAAAGTTGTTTGTTTCAGTGACGGAGGCGAGACTGAAAGGTCCATGAAAAGTGACGGCAATTCTAGAAAGGAAAGGAACCCAAAAAACTGAGCAGCTATCCAAAAAAGAAGCTACCCTTTCAATGTTCATATCACATTTTTCCCCAAAAATGCATCAAATATTGTATTAAATAAATGCTATTTAAGTAGGCCAAAATCTCTTCGCTGTATTTCAATGTCAACTTTTGTAGTTCTAATTGATTAAAGTGCTCTAAAACTCACTTCTCGATTTCCAGTAAAAGTTAAAGTGTGTGCAAACTGCTTCCAATGTTTAGTACATTCTATTCTTCAAATTAATTATTTTTCTAACACTTTTCAAACACGAAAAATACCGCGGAATTCCGTGATTACACTGAAGAAAATTTTTTGCTCTTAAAAAATGTTTTAGTTCAATACGATTGAACAAAACAATTTTCAATTTTCCGCAGCTGCCATAATCCTAACAATTTTTTGGACCAAGTTAGCGATCTCAGTATCAAACGCATCGGTATAAAATAAAAACATAAAGCTTAGATTGTAATAACGCTAAAACTGCGAAAGCTGCTATGAAAATGAAAGTTCTGGTATTTCAATTAAACTTTTTGTTTTCTCATCTGAACACCCGTATGCGAGCATTTTACTCTTAATTGCCTAATGTCGGAGGGTTGAGCGTGCCCCAGAAAACATTCGGCGGCTGCGAGTTACGAAAAACACAAGTTTTGCCAAAATTAAAGATTTGATTTTTTTTGTTTTTTTTGTGTGCTCTTTTTCTTCATTAGCTGTTGCTGTTTTTAATTTTTGAAACTCACATTGAAAATGCATTATTGTTCCGACTTTCGATACGAAAGTAAGGAATATTTGTGCTCGGGGTGGGTTTTTTTTTAGACAAATTTCGATTTTTTAACTAGCCATTTTTGACGGAATTTTTTTTATATCATTCAAAAGCTATTGTTGTACTGAGCTTAAATTTGAAAAGATGTTTCACCTGTGACCATTTTTCGTTCGTAAAGGTATGGGGGTTTAAACATTGCAATTTTGGCCAATTTGGAACAATTAACGCGCGATATATTTCGCGCTATTAACGCGCAAGCGGAGATTTAATCCGCCTTAGAAATCGTTCCAAATTGGTTCAAGAAAGCTTATATGCCATTATTGATATAATAATAGGAGCGAAATCTATCTTTTTGTACTTTATATGGCGTGTGGGGGGATTATTTTCATAAAAATTTTCAAATTTTAGAAAAAAAAAAATCATTTTTTTTATTATATTTAATTTTTTTGTTATTACTGCTCAAGAAACCTCAAAAGGCAGTCTGAACATCCAGGGCTTCGCCTTGATACGAGCAGTTTTGTTAAAAATAAGCTCAATATACAATTCTTTTTTCAATTTTGCTAGGAATTGAGTTGAAAAGCGTTTTAACTTAATTTTATCGAACCCTAATTAAACTATTAAGACGAAAGGACGAAGAAAATAAATTAAACGCTATATGACAAAAAAGGGAGTCTTTTTCATGCTGTCAGTTTATTAAATCGTTCTGAACTAGTCATAGCACGAATTAACCGATATGTTAAGATTTATGTGGCCAGCGTGTAGGAATAGCCAGAAGTGAACGCTTGCTTGACTGCGCTTAAAATTGGAACGGTTTTTCATTCGAATGAGATTAACGGTCCAAAGTTAGCTTTGTTCCTACTTTCGATACGAAAGTAACGGAATATTTGTGCTCGTGGTGGGCTTTTTTTCTTCAGACAAACTTCCACATTTTAACTAGCCATTTTTGACGGAATTTTTTGATATCACTCGAAAGCTATTGTTGTCCTGAGCTCAAATTTGAAACGATATTTCACCTGTGATCACTTATTGTAAAACTATGGGGGTTTAAAGATTGTCCTTTTGGCCAGCTTTCGACAATTAACGCGCGATATATTTCGCGCTATTAACGCGTAAGCGGAGAGTTAATCCGTCTTTGAAATCGTTCCAAATTGGTTGAAAGACGCTTATTTGCCATAATTGATTTGTTACAAGGAGCGAAATCTATCATTTTGTACTTAATATGCGTATGGGAAGATGATTTTCATAGAAAAAAAATTCAAATTTTAGAGAAAAAAAATTCGTTTTTTTTTATTACATTTAATTTGTTAATGGTATTTATGTTATTACTGCTCCATAAACCTTAAAAGCAGTCGGAACATTCAGGGCTTCGCCCTGATACGAGCAATCTTGTTTTTTTTTAATAAAATGATTTTTGGACTGTTATATAGGTGGGTATGTACAAAGAACCAAAAAGAAAAATCAATTCCCGTTTGTACCAAATTGAAAATTCGGTCGCTTATGTACCAAAAACTGTTCAATTGCTCTTAGACTACTAAACAGATTTATTCGGTTTAAGATAGCCGGTGAAGCGATAACTGGCTCTGATTTCGAACACAGTCCTAGCTTCTGTTAGCAAACTGCGATGGTCCTTATTTTGTTGCTTAGGCGGTTCGGGGCAGGACAACAGTATACAACCGAAGCACAAGAGTGCCGAAAAAAATGTTGTTCAACAGTGCCAAAAATTAATTTGAATATTGTTTTTACTAATCCCAAATAACTGACAAGTAAGTTAATTCAATTCGACGAAACTTGAAAAGTCAAAATTGGCCCTTTTAGTTGGCGGTTGATCTCATGATCAAGGGACCGAATGATGCGAAGTTTTTTAACCAATCAGAATCGTTTGACGTTTCTATTGGCTAAATGACTGTTGCGCAAAAACCTAGGCCATTTGAAATTGAAAATGAAATATAGAAGCACAATTCGTTCAGATATACACAAAAAACGTTGTTTTATTTTTCATTTCCCAAATCGGGGTGAAATTCCATTACCCCACTTCGCTTTCTTTGAGTTTTTCACAATTTCTTTGAGATTTTCGAATACTTTCTTTTGATGGGCTGAAAATGATTGGAAATAAATTTCCGACGTTCGGTCCCTCTATCATGAGGGACGCCACGATTTACATTGGTCCCGCTTGTTACACAAGCAAAAATTCCCCAAGCGCTGCGTCATAAATTTTTCTGAAAAAATTTTCTTCCCGGTTTTGTTATAATTCGCAAACAGAACTTAAAATTTTTCGAATATCCTCAATTTTTGGCACCATTGAATACATTTTCAGTTTTGGCACTGCTAAACGCCCCCCCCCCCCCCCCTCCGGTGTTTTAGCTGCTTCAGCAATTAGCAAGTAGTTTAATCAATTATTGGCTCCAAAATTAACCAATCAGAATTCGAGTTGAATAGTTTCGGCACAAACGCAACCAATCTTTCATTTTGGTATTTTTGAACTTTGATACAAATGGCACTTTGCCATTTGAGTACAACTATTGAATTCAGCAGTGGAACAAAAAAAGTATTAGAAGGAGAATATTTGCAAAAATATTTTTTTTTCAAAAGTTGTCAAGTATAAGTATTGATGTTTTCAGTTTTCATGTTTGCTTTTTTGATTTTCAAGTATTTTTTTTTAATTAAAAAGAAAAAAAACTCAATTAACAGCGAATTTTGGGAAATAATTCGATATAAGATTGGAAGTTTCGTGAAAAATTCAATAAATAATTAAGAATAAAAGCAAAAAAAAAACTATTTATGCATTATAATTAAAACTGACAATGATGCATACATTTTTTTCAACACTTAAAAAATAGCGCGATAAGGGTTTCTCTCAGCAAATGTCGCATTATGAGACGAATCAAATTTTTGTTTGCATTTTTTACTTGTGAGATTTAAAATCTTTTCAGAATTCACTTTGTATTTTCACCATTTTTAGGTTCTTGTTGATAAGTCCATTTTACACTTTTTAAGCCTTGTTATTGTCGTTGGGCCAAAGTTTGGGGGGTGCGACCGACATTTTTTCATGTAAACGACATGAGTTTAACCGTTTTCACGATTTTGATCGGCCAAAGAAACAGTCTATGAAAAAAACAGAGGTGGCGTTATGGATACAATTGAAAAGCTTGACGCATTATGAGCAGCTGGGAAGTCGGGACAGTTGGGTGGCTGGGAACTTCGAGTCTATTTTATAAGAACTGTTCCTGATCATACTTGACTGGAGAGTTCATCTGGCTGAGCTGCAGAATGATTGTTTAGATGTTGATCATTTGGGGTCGGGATTCTTAAGAGAACGTATTGGGATCGTAAAAAGCTGTTTAAAACTTGAACCAAAGATGTCTGCTGTATTTTGATTAAAATTTTTCATCCATAATCAAGCGATCAGCCTTTTTTCAGACCAAATAAATTTCTTGATCGAGAGATTAGGGTACCACATCAGATGAAAGATTCATAACTAGTGTTTGGAGTGATTGCAAAATTATCTTGTTCACTCAAAAATTTATCGTTCCTGTTGTGTAACACAATCTTTAATTTCATAGCAACTGTTGTTTCTTAATTTGATATAATTAGAATAATTTTGGCGCCGTTTTAAATAATACTTTAGTTTTACGCGATGGGAGGGCGGATTTTCAAGAAAATTTTGACCTTTTTTTAGATCGGCCAAACTGATTATCTGAGCTCTTCGAAATCATTATAAAGACCTCATTTCGACAAAACCTTAAGCAACAAAAAAAACAGACCAAAAAAAGCGTTTTTAGGGACTTTTTGGAAAATTCTGACCAAAAAAATTGCGATTTTTTGGCGCACTCGCCTCTCAAAATTAGTCTAAATTGGCGCCAAAGGCGCCCTTAGACAAATTTTAGGGTCCGTCAACCAAAAATGGATATCTCAAAATAGTACAAAGGGGGACTTTTGGTCGGCAGGGGCTCAAATCCCTGAGGAGGGGGTGTCCGCCCCATAGCCCCCCTAAATATACTGGTGATCATGCGAATTTTTTCAAGAAAATCTCACAAAATTAATCATAATATATAACAATACTTACTTTGCAAAAACGTTATCAAAATTCAAATTGCGATCATAAGGCTGTATATCTTTGCAATTTTTAATGATGGCTTTTCGAACAAATGGGAAATTGTTCACGCATTAAGAAAAACAAAGAGCAGTCAGTCAAATCAGTTATCAAAACTGCAGAATTTTCTAAAATAAATCTTAGGTGAAATATGCTGGAGACCGTGCAACTGTCCCGCACAAACCTCCTGCTCTGTAGCAACTGTGAGAGAGTTCATCCCGGGTAGTTAGTGTTAAGCAATGACAAGGTTCGAAACAAGGATTGAAACTTATTCAAACAAGGATAGCAGATTGCTCTGTAGGTACCACGGAATATTCCGACGCAAGTCAATTATGAAAATCAAATCAAAAATAAAGTCAATTTTGACACAGAGGCGAAGCGGAGCTTCGCATCACTTGCAATTAAAAA